TAATTCTTTGCATCATATTTGATATATGAATGAGTCCTCTTTTTTGAACTTTAAAATCCAGATAAACTTCCAAGTAACAAAAACACTTAGGATTCTTCTTACTCATTTGTTTCTTCAAATGACCAAAACACAGAGGAAGCTTTTAACCTCATCTATTCCATCCCTGCAGTATGTTAAGAGATAAAGGGGTAAAATATTCTAAAAGGAAACAATCCAGACCGTGGTACAAATCTTCAAACACTAGAAAGGATTTTGACTTGAAACTAGAACCAACCCAGAAGTGTAAAATGCTTAAATTAATTTGAGACCATAAAAAAGGGTTTAATTAAAGTCTCTCTAGCTGCGTTTCAATTACTATAGATGGCTAATTATTTCTGACGGAACCTTCAATGCTCTCATATTTTAAAGCAAAACGCCTGACTCAAAGTCTCTTTTTCACGTTTCTGTTCTTTTTAGATCTTAAATGAGCACGACAGTGTGGCTTTTCAGATACGCAAGGATTTAAGACAGAATATGGTACAGCCTGAAGGTGTCAGCTTTAGCATTGTAAAATGAACACATCTATTAAAAAAACTTCTGATTCTTCACAATATTCATACCCCTTTTACATCCAACGCTGTTTTCCTAAAACTGAGTGAAAACCTCCTGCAGTAGCCCATTTCTCCAGCCTAGGTGCAGAATGTAAAAAGCAGATACAAATAAATACAACCAAAAAACTGTTTTTTAAGTTATCTTATAAAAAGTTATCAGCATTCAAGAAAGAAAATAGCTCTAAAAGCATAAAAACCTTTAGATACTATACAGTAGGTAAACCACAAGACATTTTAAAATAAAAAAATGAAAGTGTTTTTAGACAACGGAAGTGATATTTAACAACTTAATTTTATTTAACTCAGTCCCAGCTGAACACTAAGAAATCTGAATAAATTAAGTAAATATTTCTAATATACAATTTTATTCCAAATAAAGTCACACGGAACTTCTGATTTTTAAATTCAGTTTTGGCACATTGGAAATTCCTGAAGGGAACGACGACGAGATGCTGGAAATTGATCATTTTGAGAAATCTCCTGCTCTGGTAATCAGAAGTCGAGGTGCTGTTACCTATAGTTAACATACACACTCCTCTTTGTCCACAACATCCCTGAACTGTGACAGTTTGTTTATTGTCACTCACAGTTCATTTAGTAATTTTGCTAGTGCTAACTCACAATTAGGAGACGCTAGAAAAACCGCAACAGATTTTTTCTTCTATTGAATGCCAAGCATTGTTAGCCAAGCGCTTAACAGTCTCAGATTTGCAACTGTTCCACTCTACAGAGTCCATACATTGTAATTAGATCTGTTAGAGCTACGTTTGGTCCCAGTCCACACGAAGGTAGGCAATGTGTGTATACACACAATCATAACTAGTTTTTGGATTCCATCTTGCAAGCTCTTTATTGTTCTATATTCCTGCAAACAACAGGACAAAACAGCCAATCAGAAAAAAAAAACTATAAACTGTTGTCCTTTAACATTAAATTAAAAATTAATTTGAACTGAGTTTCAAAATCTGCCCGACTCTGCTTTACTCATGTGACTAACTGAAATCTCCATAAAATTCATTTTAAACAACAGGGGTTCTGCAAGCTCACTAAATACCGTTTACAATAGTTCTCTAAGCAGCCTGTCAATCATCTGCTAAGGAACAGGATTTACAAGAACCAAGAGAGATTTTTCTTTTGCGCCCAATGCAAACTTTAAAGTTTGAAAAGTTCAGTGTCACCCAGCCCTCCTGGAAGATGAAAAATCTTACACAATACTGTTTTTTTGCTTTTGGGGAAAAAAATCATTGAGATAATCTTATTGTTCTTTGGATTTTACCATAAACATATTATCCTCATTAGGATTTATTACGCTACGTAATGCGTCCCCTGTTTTACAAACCGGTATACTGTAGCTAGCCCTTAGGATGGGTGTCAAACGTATTTATTGAAAAACACCACTGACAAAGGAAGCATCATAAGTAATAGACCTACCTCTTTGATACGATATAAATTGTTTCCTGAAGACAAAAGCACAGGATTTCTTTACAATAAAAAATGGAACAGCAGCAGCATGAAGGTCTCATATAATAAATACCGTCTTTGCATATTGTGGAGAAACATAACAATGAGCTTGTAAAACATAACAATGAGTGTGTATTAATGTGGAAGCATAACAACCTTGTGTGAATTTGCAAGAGAATATTAATATTGTCAATTACTGCTAATCTTGTAACAAGGTGGAATAAGCTTTATTTATCCTGCATGAAAATAAGAAATTATTTCAACTTTGCGATTATTCTAATGTTATGGATTTTAGTAGCAATATTAAACATAATCCAGAATGAATTCTGGAGAAACCTGCCTTGCAACCACCATGTGCCACTTGATATATAGGTATTTTATTTTATAGGGCTGAATTAAGAAAAACTCAAATTCGCAATTTATCTTTTTTTTTTTTTTACAGCCCAGTAAATCACTTAACAAGAAAAGTGGAAAGAAAGAAAACTCAGGTACTGCGGTAAAAAAAAACAAGACATTCACAACGTGCAAAGTGCTGAGACAACTCTTAATGAGCATCTGAACTTGGGGTAAAAGAGCTGTGATGGACAGGGGAAGAGAAGTAATCTTAGGGCAGACCATCGTACCACACATTTAACCCAGATAGTTGATACTATCCTGTCTCCATTTTAATTCATGAGGTTTGGGCTGGAGAGGAAGGATTTAACTTAAACCCCTTTCAACATGGTAAATGTGTTTTTGTAATTAAAGCCACACAATTAACATTGACAAGCCTAGGTCAGGGGAGCACAGATTACGCTGTTCAAATGTTCAGCTCCTCAAAGCACAAGGCAAACAGCTGCAAAGTGAAGAAAAAAAAACTTTTTCTGAACAACTTGGACTTCATCCCAGTCAGTTCCTAGTGGATTTTTTGGGGGAGTTTTACAGAACATTTATACTGCATACAAACCACTGTATTTACTTCATAGTTTTTTTTAATGAAAAACCCTCGAAACCATGTCTCTGATGCTCATGAGAAATTTCTTCTCACATTATGAGTGGCGAGATGAAACGTCAATTCTTCAATTTCTTTTCTCAAGTCCCTAAAATCTAAGACCCTGGTACTTATTTGGAAGAAAGAATCCAATTTAAAATTTTGTAAATCACTAGATGGAATATTTTGTATTTAATTTTAAGTTTCTACCAACTTCTTGAAAATATACTATATTACAATAATATTAACAACACATACAGTATGTTAAATATCAGAGTATCAATTTTAGATAATAATGACACACTTTTACCTCAGACTCTTAAAAGGAAATGCATATTGTAATGTATATATTTGTATATATATATATTTTATGTAGTATTATCTATCTGTAAAATAATTCTTCATTGTCGTTAATGTTATATATATTTAAATATTTCTTGAAATGACTCGTTATAATCTGGGTTTTACTCTTGTTCCTTCTGGACAAAATGTTATGTGCACCTTTTCCAAACACATGAATGTTTGAACAATTGTTTCATTGTACAATTCGGAACCAAACTCTTAATGCACAGAACATAGAAATGCAGATTTCTTTTATAGAACAGTTTTCATCTTGCTTTATATATGTGTGTGTGCCTGTATGTGTGCAAAAAATAAACCCCAGCCTTTTGTTTCATTGTTTGGTTTTAGTTCTTTACACTTGATAAATTGCTATTCGTCTTTGAACACATGCACAGACTACTGACAATTTCTTTTAACAGCACGTGAAAGGCTATCCTAGTCTTTAAACATTCATTTAAGCAGAAGTTTTAAACAGTGAAAGGCAGATTTCAGGTAAATTTAAGTAAAGTTGACACAGCCTTTTTACAGAGTGCACTGTTCCTTCACAGCAACTCAGCCATGAAATTATAATGGATCTCTTTCAACAGCCAGCGCTATTAGGAACGATAAAGAGCACTATTCAGGCACTAATTTAAAATTTTGTACTTTTACTGCCGTTTGAATAACTTGAAGTGGTTTGGTAGCCACTTATAGAAAAAATATAATATACAATAGCATTTTAAAAAGGTAGATTACCTCTCAGTTTGCAAAAACATTAAAATTAAACAACAATGCTGATGTGTCATATAAATTAGGATATATTAATTCAAGATGATAAACAATGTTGTGACTTTTTAAAAGAGGGAATTTATAAAAACATATAAAAGTATGTTGATTTATATTGTTTTCTTACAGCGCTAAAAAAATACACATTTTCTTGTTGAATAAGTGGGCACAACAGTGCTTGCACAAGTGTTTTAAATATTTCTATTCTTCTTTGTAAAACATTCTCTTTTGAAGCTCTACTTTTGACGTCTATATGCAATTGAAACACATTAAAAAAAACTTTTCAGAAAATTCTGCAAATGTAAATTTTAACAAATTGTTTTTAACATTCTGTAAATTATTTGCCATGCTCTTAAAGTATGACTCATACAGTAAATCTCACTTTCAACAGAACAATGATCTAAATTTAGTAATGAGCATTTTTTATCAATACTTATTATAATTATAACAAATTAAATTGCCAGATAATACACCTTATTAAACAATTTCCATACACCATGGGCACATGTACTGTATAAAACTGAGTGGCATTCAAACTTAAATTATTTTTGTTCCAATACTCATTTTTTCCATTTTAATGCCATTTAGTACCTTAAAAAACTGGATTAATTTAACTGAATAACCTTTTATAGAACAATAATTCAAAACAGAGGATCCAAACTGTTCTAACCACTTATAAATCTAACTTACTAATTATTGTTTTACATTACATGTAGAAATTTATTCAAGAAAGAAAACACGCCATGCAGAGGAAAAGACAAATAATTAAAACATTAGACAACGCATCCCTTTCTTGTGAAGAGTTGTAAAACTCGGAACTCCACCGCTAGTCTGGCTATGGTTTTTTAGCAATAGGAAAGAGGAACTCTTACCGTGTCTCCAGGATTTACAGATACAGCCACCACAGTGCCGGGCATTGGGGACCTCAGGATACTGCTGGTGTCTTCTGGCACTTTTTCAGGCATATGCCTGCTCAGTTCTGCAGCCAGCTTGCTCAACACCCTCACTTTAAACTGACCAAGGGAAAAAAAATAAGGTTTAGTTTTTTGTGGCTTTTCTTCATTCTGTATTTTTTTTAAAGTGCATACAAGAACAGTAGTCACTAGATCAGTTTAATTTAACTTTTGACATTGGCTACACTTGAATGGAAGCCAGTCAAAAGTATTCAATTCTAAATGCAGATTCAAAAAAAAATGCCAAAGAGGATTTTTATGAGGACAGAGGAGCCAATAATTATAATCTTGTTTTTTCCAGATTATGAAATAATTAGCTACCCTAAGTACAAAGAACAAAAACTCAGTTTGTCACTCTACTAGTGTATTTTTTGTTCCCAAAAATATTTTAAGGCCAGTGATTTGAGGATTTGTTAGGTGTGAGCCTGTGTGTTTTTTTAACAGGAAAAGTAAGCTGATTAATAAAAGGTGTTTTCATATTTTATAACCATGAAGGTGTGCTGTATTACAAAACCTAAAAAGTTACCTTGCTTTTGCATAATGAATGTTTCTATATATTTAGCCATTTTTTTCAGTAAAAACTATTTAAGTTATACTGAAGTACTACTAAAAATCCAGTAGATGGCAACACGCCTCTGTTTTAACTTATATTTGGCTTAATTGCAAAAACAAATAGCTCAGAAAAAAGAGCAGGTAAATATTGTGAATTATTTAGAAAAGCCTCAACAGTCCCCAGCTATACAAGATCAAAGCTCCCAAACTGTTAACTGTTTTTCTTGCTCTGAAGCAAGAAATGGGGAAATGGGTAAATGATACAGGACATAAAAATAAGCTGCAAAAGTGTGCTAAAATAAAGCAAAGCTGAGTATCATTAAAACCATCACAGAAGTAAAAGCTGTGAGATTCCACCAAACTAACACAACCTAGAGTACAGAGATAAATGAGCCAAATGGCTTTCTCTCATTGATAGCTTATCTCATGGTTTTACGTTTAATCATACACAGTCATCTCAAGGTGTATTCAGCATCTGAATTGAAGAATAATCTAAAAAGAAAAAAGAAAATGTAATGCCCCCCCGTTAAAATAACTGTCTGGAAAACAAATCGCTATATGCTCTACTAACAAGTGAACATCCTATCAAACCATTTCTAGTAAGCAATAAAAAACGCTCTGCTGATTTAGACAGATAACTGTACCCATTTCGTACACATGTGACAAAATGAAGAGTATATTCTTAGCAATCAAAACATGAGTGCTTCAAGAAAGAATAGCTTCCAGGAAGGAGGTGTGTAGATAAAGGCCTCTTGCTCATGTTAAAGCCTAGGGAGTCAAGCTGAAGAAGAAAGGTTCTATGCCGACTCCTCTGTCAATCCAACAAACTAGCTATTTGTGAAGAGTGTCTACCAAAGATAATTGTACTCTAAAAGCTGCACATTAAAAACCAAAGAAAGCGAAATATGTATAATTACACTACAATTGTGCCACCTCTATGTCACAAATTGGCTTCTATAATACATCCCTATGTAGGTGTACATAAAAACAATGGCATGGTATGTTCATATTTTTAAAGTGCAAATGTATTTAACTACAGTAGAGTGAACACTGAATGTCAGTACGGCGAAGGTTTTGCCAGAGAAGAGGGGTAGAGAGAGAAGGAAGGCAAGGCTGAAGCTAGGCAAACTGGAACGCCACACAGTTGGGACCAGAGCAATTAGAATAGTCACTTATGATCACAGTCTTGCTGAAATAATGCACTACAGGATACAAGCAAATTAGAATGCGGCATTACTCGGTTGGGCCCTGTTGGAATCCCGCAATATCGGGCCTCTTCGGATTAGAAAACATTATTTGCCGAGCCCAATAGTAATACCATACTGACAGCAAGCTTGTCTAATTAGACTTCTGTGATGCCGGACATCCTCCTTCAGGGACTGTGCAGCGGGACAAGTGTGAATGCTGTACTGGGAAGAATGGCCAGATTGGTTTGTGTCCTGGCATTTTGACCACTGGTGCTGTACATCAGGTATTTTCAAATAATTTCTACTAGAGGCATATGTCTGAAATCACATGCGTGCACCATTCATTTCACTCGAAGGACTAGCTTAATCTTTATAGTTCATGTTACAAAATTTCAAAGAAATTACAAAAGTACTATAATCCTACGCCACTAAACTATATAGGGGCCCATAACTGTTCCAAATCTTATGAACAACAATCTGACAGTGTAATTAGTTTGAAATTGCGTAACTCCACAAGGCATGTCTTTTCAGTAAACATTCCAATCAAAAATCAATTTATTTCAGCTGTCAAAACTAACTCCAGATATAACATTAGGTTATTCTTCATATTGACTGTTTTTAATAATTTAAACCAAACACCTCCGTAATTGATAGTATCGCATAAGACAAAAGCAAACTTTCACAGAAATAAAAAAAATCTTCATAGCCAGAGTGCATGTACAAATGTACAAAAAAATTTGTGTCACGGGGTTTAAGCACAGCCCAATGACCTACTGCCTGAATTGAGAAAACAAAGGCTTTTAAAACAATGAGTTGAGCTCTTAGATCAAGCTATAGGAAACTAACAGATTTTTTTTTTAAAAGCTGACTCTTAATAAAACAAAGTAAACAGGAAAGGGTAACAGTTTTGCAAAGAATTACAGTTCCAGCTAACACATTTTGATCCAGACCGAAGCTTTAAACTTCTGAAAACAATATTAAGAGTTTTTTTTCCAACTAAAATTAAATGAATAGCCTCCAAAGTTATCTTCAGAAATTTTAGATTGGATTTATTTACTCAATGAAGGAAACATGCAGGATAAAGACACACGTTAGATCTGACTCTTTACACATTTAAAAAGAACCATGTTTCGTTTGGAATGACAAAAAAGAAGTGACGCTGAATAAAATACGACCAACACATCGCCGTAGATAAACAAGGACCTTTCACAGGTCCACTGAAACTTTAACCCAGAAACAGACCTGTGCCCTTTTGATGTAGCTAGTAAAATGCATCATATGGTTAGCAGATACATAGATACACAGCACAGTCCAGTGAAGATGCAGGATCTGGGAGACAACCTAAAACTCTGAAGGAAAAAAAAGCACACCAACAGCTGGCTGCAAGCTGAAAAACTGAATGGCGCAGATGTGCGATGCAGAGTAAGAGAAGGTTTTGCATTATATGATGTTTATTTTTCCACATATCCATGGAGGAAAGGGAGGCCCTTGATGTTGCTCGGTGCACACAGTCAGCTTTTGTTCACAGATGAAACCCGAATCAAAAAAAGAATGAAGGAATTAAATCCGGTGACCAAATGTGATCTGAGGGTGGTCAGCCTCTTCTCCATCACTACAAGTGCTGTATAAATCTCTCATCTGCCCCATTCAGTGTTTCAGCACCTGCATCCTCGCTGGACTATGCTGTACATCTATTACTCTGCTGGGCTTCAGAGTCAACAGCGAAACGCAAACCAGAGGATAGAAGTGTAAACTATGTGGAAGTGCATTTAAAAATCAAAATCAGGAGGCACTTCTTACCCTTCTTTTTACTTTCATGTTGTCAAAGCTGATACCCTGGCTTCTTTCAGGAACTGGCTACATGAGATCCTTGGATCAACCATCTACCAGCTATCAAATGGGCTAGATAGGCCATATTGTCTCCTCTCATGTGTATCCCTTCTTATGTTCTTAAGCATTCGAGAAAACTCTGAAAAACAGGAAGCTTTCTGGATGTTTTGATTAACTTTTGTGAACATTTGTTTTTTAAGACCTGAAATTCTTATAAGTTACAAGGGAAATGCAAAAACAATTTGCTCTTGATGCACTGAGCCTTCAAATGATGCAATTTCTTTATTGTGTGAGCAGTATTAGTGCAAACTAAGAATGGTCAAACCCCTATCACAGGGCTTATTGGTCAGTGTAGTTACAGTGTAACTGAAACAATTTAAGGTCCCAGGTAGGGCAGTTGCTGTATCTTAAATCAAGATCTCCCAAAGATAAAGATAAAGTACTACTACATTTGTTCACTTACAATTAATTTAGCTAAAAAAGAAAGAGCTCAGGGAGAAGAAAATGCACTTACACTTTTTTGAATGCATTAGTAAATTATCCCCTGTAATGAAAATATGGAAAACCCATATGCAGGAAAATAAAATTATCATATACTTTCATATCTTTCACACTTTTCAGCTCAATTTCAATAGGCATAGGCATGGTTTTGTCAAAGATGCCAGTGCTGAAATCTGAGGAACTTCTCACAAGTGGCCCAAAATTTGACATCGCAAAGGTTTGCTTAGAAAAATAAATAGGAAGAGAATACCAGGGATGAGGAAGATGCACTACTTTTTAGTGAATCGGAGACATTCCTAAGCAGAAATATTGAAACGAGCTGTAAAAATTATTACATGTTCCAACTATGAATCCAAACTCCTTCACATCCACCTGTGTAGCTTGTGTTCTTGAGGAACCTTTCATTTTTGAACAGGTTGAGGTTTCAAAGGAAAATAGAACTTAAAAGTACAAATCTGGGCAAGCCACGGCGCTCTGTAAATGTGCAGTTGCTGAAGCAGCCTGTTAGCATAATGCTTTGACAACTCCATCAGCCAAGTCTCAAGGTAGCTGTCAATCAGGATGCATCATTTAATCCAACAGCACTCCAAGGACTTTTTCCTTGCAAACCACATGACAGCACATCTACAGCTCTATTTATGGATGCGCACAGTTGTGTTTGCAATGTGGTCATAATTAGAAAACGCTAAAAAAAAGCAAAAAAAAGCAACAAGTCTCGATATAATTCAAGACGCCACTTTATTTTCAACACTGGCATGTGAAGTGCGATCTTGCTCTGTGGTGGCTTCAAGCTAAATGACAAAAGCACTATTTTATTCATCCTCTTTGGATAGACAGTACTTCATTTGCAGCTCACTATAATTAGATTAATGGTGTAGTGCTGTACAAAGCAGGCCCACTTCACATTAGATAGCATATGAATTAGGACAAACACTTATTTCAATTCCAGGCAGAGAAAGCAGTGGCTAGGGTATTTAGCATACCCTTTAT